GCTGTAGTAAAAGTGTGTGTTGGCACAATTGCCTCGCTAAAGTTACTATGTTTTCCCTCATGACCCGTATGCTTTGTTGAGACGGGATCGAGCGTGTTGGCCAGGATGGTGAGATTGAGCGTGCGGTGTATGGCGAGAAGATTGAGGACGTCGAGGGGGCCACAGAGATCGAGAAGTTGGAAGCCTGGGAAGAGGATGACGCCGATATGTTTGGGGAGCTGGGTGGCCATGGTATTTTTTATTGTATTCTAGAGTGAAGTCCTCTTAGATTTTCTTTAACACTGTTTCTGGGAGTTGGTGAAGTGAGGTTTTAGTGCGAGGAAAATAGGTACTTCGAATGGGTCTACGTAAAGCAAAAGCAAGGTCAAGTACTTAGACCTTTTATATTGAGCTAGGCTATACTTTTCTCTGTTTCGACGGACTTGAACCAAATGTCGTTACAAACCTCTCCGCACTCGGAATCTGACATGCGTCACGCTACAGGTGTACCCCAGCATTGAAGCTTCTTGAGCTGTGTATTACTAAGCAAGGTAGGGGTAGGTCATTGGTTGAGTTGAACCCTGCGTCGGTGACCTACTAAGCATGTAAACGTTCTGTTCACTTCAAAGGGCGTGTAGATCCACGGCCGAGAGTTTGAACAGGCAGTGAGGCAGATTGAGACCATTGATCACGAAGTCAATGAGAGTATGCTAATGTTCATCTGCGTAGAGTTTCCTGTTCAGGACTTGATAATTAAATCGATAATTACACAACACCATGCTTGCCTGCTTCGTCCTGGGCGGCAACGGAGGCTAGCAGTCTAGCATGTGCGATCCGCTCTTCTGAGACTAGATAACTCTTAGGCAAGTCACCTTTCTTCACCATTTCGGCCTGTAGTTGGTTTACGTCTTTGCCCTCGAACTCCCCAAGAACCATTTCCGCAACTGCCTTCCCGCAAAGTGTGCCATTTGGCATCCCATGTCCGGTGTAACCCCCAGCAATCCACAGACCGTCCCTCTGAGGAACCTTACCCACCCACGGGTGGTTATCTTTTGAGTAACCCATGATGCCTGACCATTGCTTTGCAGCCTTCAATTCGTTCAAGCCCTCAGTCTTGCCATCCAATGTCAAGATTTTGAGCAGCGCGCTACGGAGGTATGCCGCCGTGTCCTCATCCATAATGCTGTCATCGCTCACACCAACTGTGGGCAGTGTGCCCGCTCCGCGGCCGCCGCCAAACATTAAGTGACCTGCAGGATTCGGGACGCCTGAGTACGGACGCTGAATCAAGTAGTCATCACTGTTCGTGGGTTGACCGAGCGCACCGACCATACCGTGCGAGTCGGGCAGAATAGTCGAGTTCTCCGGCGGGAAGAGAGCACTCATAGTGCCTTGGACGGGAACGATGAGATCAGCGAAGTGTGGGAGGATAGCAGATGTGTATCCATTCGTTGCCAGGATTACTGTGGGGGCGGTAATGGCACCGCGCGGCGTGTGTAGCGTGTGCTTGTTGTCTTGCGATGTAATATCTGTTACGGGAGTCTTGGTCTGCAGATTCAACTTTCCATCCTTGATAAGCTTCTCCAATATGAAAGTGACCAGTTTATATGGCCACAGGCTTGCCGCGCCCTGTGTGATGGTCGCACCTAGAGCTTCCTCGTTCAGGCGGTGCTTCTTCAGCTCCTCTTTATCCTTGATGACTGTCACAAACTTGGCGACTTCGGGCGCAGACTCTTTCAAGTATGCGACTTTGTTTTCAGCTTCTTGCAGAGCTTCTTCAACCCAGAAGCTAAGACAGCCGGATACAGAGCGCCACTCACACGGGACGGAATGCGTTTCGATATACGATTTTACGGCGGAGACATTCTTGATCTCGAATGCGGCGACTTCGGAGTCTCGGTAGAAGAGGAGAGGTTGGCAATGCCCGCCGTTCTATATGGTCTTGAGTTAACTTTGAGCAATTGGAGCAGGAGAGCATTGCGACACCATCTTTACTGGCAAAAGGAAACCCAAATCACCCATCATATGGCTCAATAATTCGGCACTGACGAAGTCCCAATAGAGGGTTGAGGAAACGCAACATTACGTACCCTTCCAGTAGCTCCCCAACAAGCTTCTCGAGCTTCCAGAAGCACAACACTCTTTCCCTTAGCCCTCTCATCCTCAGCCAGGTATCTCGACACAGAAGTTCCAGTAATTCCGCTCCCCACAATCACGATATCTGCTTCCTTGGGCAGCTCCTCTGTCGTCCTGTGACCGATGAGGAACTCATTAGGCTCGCTGTGCCAGAAGGAATCGGTCGACGTCGGGGTCGGTAGGGAGGAGCGTACGTGTTTCATTGTGCACGGATATGTATGAGGCCGGTGAGACAGTCCAGAAGGCTACGTTGTGCTGGGTGGCGGAGGAGATGGAGAAGTGGGCTGGAGTGGTGGGGTAAGAGAACTACGGTGGGCCCATCCATTTTATATCCCCACCTCGAAGGCCTGGGTGACGTGCCGTTGATAAGGCGACAACGGCATTCTGTGGGCAACAGCATGCATGATACGTGTTCTAAGAGTAGATCATGATCATGCTTTGACATTTGCGCGTCGGGATTGCGTTGTACGTTGCGTGGTGGTTTTCGGAGTAAGAAATTGGCAGTCAAGAAGCTCCTACGGAGCGCCGAAGCTATGCTATTCCGATCATTGGCGAATGCAACCTTCTCGGAGAAAGGTACTGAAGGTGTCATCAGTCGAGAATCGAGTCCCGTAATACATGAAGATACACAGAACAGAACAGACGTTCCCTGGTCAACGCCGTAGTGGGACTCCGGGAGATGGTTCGATCCGTAAATTCCTAGCAGTGCGATACGCGACGATTAGTAATGGGGCAGTGCATCGGCGGACTTTCTGACTCTCTAAGGCGATCGTCAACCTCACTTCATACTTCTTTTCCTGGAGGAGGACTGCTATTCCATGGCAGAGTTGAACGGTTGACCACCAGCAACGATCAGCCACGCAATCTTCGTAGCACTGGGACACTCAGATAAGAGGGCACGATTGCGACGTAAATAAAATGCAATTCTGTTTCCAACTCTCGAAGTATGCTAATATACATGGACAGAAAACGCAATTTAAGCTATGGATATATCATGACAGAGGAATAAACCGAAGAGGAAGGTACCACAGCGCTGTAAATTATATAGCGGACATTACTCGAACCAGCGATTGACACAAACGAAATTCGTTATCTCCACCATCAACCGACGATAGATTACCATGCGTAAGAGTTGTTAGGGGCCACCGGACACTTCAATGAGTGTGATGCTTCCAGCTGCTATCTGGCCCCAAGAGAAGGACATCGACCACCCCGCATAAGCGACATGCTCACTTGCGGCGGCGACGCACGAGGTCTTTTGCCTGCTCGGTGACCGAGAAGTCATTAAAAAGCCAGGAGTTCGAATGACGGCCACACCACATATCACTGCTGCCAGTGCTGCGTCTTGACGGGCCTTGGAGACTTGGCCGCGTTGCTTTGGAAGATGTGGACGCGACCGAGCCTTGGCTGGGGGTCTGGGCATGCCGTGATTGCCTCGGATGTGATGAGGTGTATGTCGGGCCTGTCGGGCTTGCAGTAGAAGACGTGGGTGGGAAGTGCTCGGGTGGCATTATCAGCGGGGACTTGGATCGTTTGCGGACGATTTCTAGTGATCGGCTGTCCTCCCCGGCAGGTTTGATGTTTGGTAAGTGGCTGTCCGGCCGGCCACGTTTGCGGACGGCTTCTCGTGATCGGCTGACCTGCCGGCCACGGATCCGTGAGGTGATGGCGCCGAAGAATGACTCCTCAGTTGGAAATGTGGGTGAGCGCGAGCTGCGCGACAAAGTAGATGTGGGCGACAGCATGTCTGGAGAGGCAGTCCCCGATGACTGCGACGTTTGCGAACCGCTCGTCGCTGTGCGGATTGGCGGCGGGAGGCGAAAGTGCTGGTGTTGCGAGCTGTGGTGCGACGGCATTGCTGGCTGAATGTGTAATGGTGTTTGCGGGGTTTCAAGAAGCGCGATGGGCAAAAGGATTCAGAGTCCACAGACGAGAGAAAAAAAGGCAATTGCACACTGGCAGATAAACTGCGCAAGCCAGACTTATATGTGAGAAACAGCCATCCAACAGTCCTCCAGTCCTCCACTGCATCATGATACCACATCCCGAACCACAAATTCCCCCATCTTGGCGCATGTCTCCTCCAACCTAGGTGTCGGTGAGTCTCTCCTCTCGATGCGCACCTGCAGCCAATCATTCGCTGTGTTCCATCGTTCGGCCCGCCTAAATGCCCTCCCAAGTCCCCGCAGCACGCTTTCACACCACAAGTTCACCGACTCTGGCCCGCGCAGGCGGGGCAGGTGGCTGCAGACCTAGTGCAACGACAACGCATCTACCCGAGAGTGGAATGGTACTTTGGCTAGAGTGCATACAAGGCTAGCCAATCCCTTGATCGGGGTCCTGTTAGCGAGGCTGTTGCCTTCTTGCATGGGAAGGGTTGGTGAGAGACTAGCGATGGCAACGTGCCATTGGAATGCTGTTGGAGCTTGAAGCGGGTAGTAGTGCGAGAGGAGTCATTCATTGTGTTCTTGAAAATCAGGCGACCTGTTTCATGATTAGTTGCCTTGGTTGCGAGGAGATCATTAACTTGTTCAAGATACGAAGCTATCTTATCTTCTACAGAGCCCTATCGCATCGACTTATTCAAACAGTACGAAGTGTAGGCCACTTTCTTAACCTTGCTTGCTAGATTCAGTGGCCGTGATGGATGCCCGCCACAAAACTCGGGGTTTAAGCCAAGCACAAATACCACGGTATATGTATTTGTAGAGAAGAGTTCTTTCTCCTCAGAGAAGTAAGGGAACGAATGTAAAAAAAAAAAAACAGTAGAAAGTGAAGGAAGGATGGATGGATGTATTTTGACAATAATATCTTCTCTCCCTACCTACTAGCCCCCCGCAAAAAGCAATTCACGAAAAAAAAACCGCAAAAAGAATATTGTTTCTTGCATCCACCGGGAGTCGAACCCGAGCCATTTGCTACCTCCGCTAGTACCAAATAGGACTAGAATGGAAGGCAAATATCCTACCGCTGGACCATGAATGCTGGACAATGTTGAAAGTTCGGAGCTTTTAAATTATATATCCAGCAAAAGAAAACGGTACGTACTCGGAAAAGCTTCGAAATCATTACCAGACTTTACCAACGGCTCAGATTTAAAAGTGTGGAGCTTACGGGGCTCGTTTGGCGCAGCATGTACTTATGAAACACGCTAAATCCAGTACTACGTGAGTAGTGTGATAGCAAAGTAATACCTGAGAAGTGGTGTACACCAAGGAATGGGCATTCTATTTCCTCGTAAGACAGGGCCGGCCAATGGTTTGTTTCTAAAGAGAGAACTTTTCATTCGTAAATGTCAGGATTAAAATATAACTTCGCTGATTATCACGAAGGCGTCCGTCTATATTGCGTATAACAAAACCCAAGCCAAAGCCGTCACACTTCCACCCCAACGTTCAGTAATCTGGAAGACAGGCATCAGAACCCTCCGTCGTGTTCGCAAACCCAATACTGTTGCTGATGGTGATGAGGTCGGGGCCACGCCACTGCCCGGTATTAACAGCATACTTGGCCGGCCATGCTTTGGTGTACATAGCGCAGTATTGTCCCTGTGACACACCGTTCTTCCGCTCAACGTACGAGACAACGAAATGGCAGATTTTGACCTCCGATCCGTCATTTGGTGGATTCCCTTGGTTGTAATGGTTCTGGGAAGAGCAGGCGACGGCACAGCGACGAGGATCATAGCGCTGTTGGTCGTTGTAGAGCTTGTAGCCCAAGTATGTATCCTCGTCCTGGCAGGTGTGCGGAGCGTTGATAGAGGCGTTGCCGTACCAAGTCGGGTTGTACCCACCGATTTGGGGCCATCCGCGCTTCTCGTTGTAGTTGTGGTTGTAGCCGTTAGAACCAGCGATCACAACGTGGAAATCGTCGCGGTATTGACCATCATTCTTGGCGTTCCATGCGTTAATGGCGGCACTCCAGAAGACGCACTTAATCAAGGTTGAGGAAGCGGGGTTTTTGCAATGCTCGTTCGGGCTGACCAAGGGCGAGCGCTCAAAGTATATGTTGAAGGACCAGCAGCCGTCTTTCGACTGGCATGCGGTTGCACATGATTGGACGTCGTACTTGTCGAGGAGAGTGTAGCCGAGGTAGTTTTGGGCTTGGTTTGCAGCTTTGAGGTCTGTGAACGACTTGGTATAACCGCTGACTTCAGGGGCACTGGTGGCAGCTTCACTGAATGCGGGGAACGAGAGGAAGGCATCAGGGGTGTCAGGGGAAGGGACAGGACCTGATCCTCGAGGGAGAGGCTCTCCGGGACAGTACGTAAGCGGAGGAGAGGTAGGTCCGGGGTGAGGTGGACTAGTCCAGCTGCCATTGGAGTAGGAATGCTGCCATACAAGAGCTGATGCGGATGAAGCAAAAGCTAGGAGCCCGAGTACGACCATTTTGTACAGATTGAAGGAAGTGAAACAAGGGGTAACAGATTGAAGACCTGAAAGGAGGGCGAGGAAGGAGGGCCAAACTATCTTAAAGCAACTGGGACTTCTGCTACGGATGCAATTAGTGGATCTCCGGACCCAGCATTTATGAGCAGTCTCCGAATGTGGATATGCTGTGGATTATGGCATTTGAAAGTCATGACTGTCATTGAAGGCCCATGATATCCACAGTAATCTTCACGGACAGGATGGAATGATTAGGAGTTCGAGAAGCTGGATATTCTGGATGGCACCCATCGACCTTCCAATGGACGGGCAGAGCCCAGTGATCGAGCTGTCGTGATGGGTCAATATGGTGAGGTCAGATGGCCGAAATGTGGTGCGTTCAGTTCATGCTTATCGAAAGCATGCAGGTCGTTGACGACACGAGCGAGGTTCTGGGCATGTTCACGTGCCTATTCTGTCTCAGTCTATGCCTCCACCATTGACAAAGTCTGTTTCTGTCAGTCGCTTATATTGCGGGATGCCCTGATAGACAGACATATCGTCACTACCGCGAACTTTTCATGCTCCGTTCCAGAGTCTAGAGCCAAGCCGAAGTTGGTATACGTGGGTAGTTGTGGGGGTCTCTAAAGTGAAGGCTAGTCGGGAAAGTGAGAAGCGGTTCTAAAAGGCACAAGGAGTATCGAGGCAGCAGTGGAGAATGTCGATAAGCTCTGTCGTGCCTGTCACATGCCCACATTGTACCGCCGTAGTATTTGAGTAATGCACATGCTGTCATTCGCCGACCACTGTCAAGAGGAGGGGACTGCAAATTGCGGGTAAGAAGAGGAACAGTGTGACGGGTACCTACCCCTTGTTGTGTCACACCTTGCTCAATATCTACCACTATTTATGCTTTACATAGATACGTATAGATACCTACATGTACGTACATATATGTATGTAGTACTGGTATGCCATCACGTGACCGCTTCAGCCGGCACCCAGTGTGGCGCTAAAACCAGTCACGTAGCGAAACTTCGGCTTGTGACCCGGGTAGCGACAATCACTATGACACGTCGCCTCTCATTTCAGCCTTCGCCTGCACGGGAGTGGCCTGGAGGTAGAGCTGTGGTTGAAGCTGTCAACAGGGTTGCTCCACCGTACGCGTGGCTGTGCTGCTTTCTCTTCCGCGAACATGCATGCGTCCATCAAAGGCGCATTCGTGATAATGACGCCTTCCGGTTCGTGTGTTGGTATCTATGTACACATGTAGGCGTCGGCGGTAGAGATATACAGTGCCATACAGGTGGTGGTACGCATTCACTGTCGCTTCCGCCAACTTCGCCCCGCCAGTTCACGCCACTATTGTACATATCGCGGCGCAAGACTCCAACGACACCAACGACAGGCTCAGCCTCACGTCAGAGGCTGCCGAGTTTTCACATATGTGTCTGTCAGGGTAGCAGCCAATCACCGGGACAGCGCTGAGCGGGGCGTTTGTGGCGCAGTGGGCGCTCAATGCTGTCATCAAGGGCAGCTTCTTGACCTGAGAGCCCAAACCTCAAAGCTATTTGTATCTCCTCTCTTACACCCCTCCCCCTCCACTCTCCAAAGAACACGCGCACAACTCTCCTGCAGCTTCACATTCAGCACTACAACGCAGAAACATCGAAATGGGTGTAAGTCGCGTCGCTCAGCGCCATCGCGCGGGGAAGATGGCGGGGTACACGTAAGGCTGATTCGCATACCTACAGTTGGCAAGCAAGCTCGCGGCCTCTCAAGGCGGCGCTCCCCCTGGGGGCGCATACCCTCCGCAAGGTCAAGCACCGAGCGGCTACGTATGTATCTATCATCACAGCCTGTCCCGATATCCACTAATGCAGCTTTTGTAGCCTGGGCAGCAGAGCTATCAGGCGTATCCAGGCGCCGCTGGTCAGCCCGGTGCCGGTCCTCCGGTAAGATTTTCTCTCTTTCCTTCTCGCATCCCACCTACTGCACTACTGCTCCTCTGCATCGCCGTCGGAAACCACCTGGAATGCAACGCCTTCTCTCTACAACAACAATCACACATCCTGGTGCTTGACTTCATCCCTTCCACCGACGGCCGTGATGGCGCACTACGGCAACCACCCGCCATATCCAAACTACGCCCCTAACCAATATCAGACCACACCTCAACCGCCAGCCAACGCACCATTCTCACCACCCTACTCACCTGCCTCGCAGCCCTACTCACAGCCCTACTCACAGCCCTACTCGCAGCCCTATTCGCAGCCATCATCATCGCCGTATCCACAGTCACAATCAGGCTACAACAGGCCGCCGCCACCTCCCCCAGGGCAGCCGCTATCACCATATCCCGCTCAGGCTAGTTCTCCATACCCGGGACAACCACATTCTCCGTATCCTGGTCCGCCACACTCTCCGTATCCGGGACGTGCCCCACAAAGTCAGCTTCCCTACGGCCAGCAACAGCAATTCCCACCGCAGAACCAATGGCAACAGCCTCAACAACCTCAATGGGGACAGCAACAACCCTACGTACGCTAAGCGACCTTTTACATTCGGCGATGCAGAGCCGGGCTTAGAACTGGTCTCAACTAGCTTTTGAACTGATGCTAATACTCTGATCTAGGGTGCTCCTCCCGGTCAACCACCCCAACAGTATGGCGCTCCCGGTGCGCCACCACCTCAGCAGTACGGCGGACAAGGCGCTCCAGGCGGTCCTCCCCCTGCTCAGGTCGGACCCGGAGAGATCGGTGCCTACAAGAACCTCCTCCTCGGTTGCATTCAAGAGAAGCAGCTTCAAGCCTTCTATCCGCCCAACTCCCCGATCATCGATCAAATTGCCCAGCGGGCTCCCGCTCTGATTAACCAGGTCATACAGCGCTGGCACGTCGCAAAGGAGGTTGCGAACGACATCGTCAAACTCGCCCTCTACGACATTGTTCTTTACATTGGTGCGTATTCACTGTCGTATTCAACCCCGCTGCAGTGTGCCTGTCTCAAACTCGGCAAGAATAGAAATCTAACCAATTTGCAGACGACAGTGGCTCCATGGCGTTTGAAGATAATGGATCTCGCATTGACGACTTGAAACTTATTCTGAATCGAGTCTCTTTCGCTGCCACTCTGTTCGATACCGACGGCGTCTCCATCCGGTTCATGAACACTGATCTCAGTGCTAAAAACATCCCGCAGGATGGTGTTGCAACCGAGGCTCACATTGAGCAAATCATGTCCGGCGTTCAGTTCAAGGGATTGACACCCATGGGGACATCTCTCCGTAACAAAGTCATCGACCAGATCGTGTTACCGCGAGCCAATGCCCAGCAGTTGCAAAAGCCGGTTCTTGTCATCACCGTCACCGACGGTCAGCCCGCCGGCGAGCCGCAGAATGCTGTCTTTGACACTATCAACCACGCTGTCGATTCATTGAGGCGCACGAAATATGGCCCGGGTGCTATTGCGTTCGAGTTTGCCCAGGTCGGTGACGATGCGATGGCAAAGAAATTCCTCGGAAAGCTTGATGAAGACGCGACTGTTGGCCAATTGGTCGACTGCACGTCCAGTAAGTTTGGTTTCAGATACCAAATTTGCATATTATTGACACCAAGA